TAAGACAGTACAAAGAAAAAGACAAAGTTTTGAGTTAGTATTAATTGTGGTGAATTTATTGTTGTTCTTGTGGTTTGGTAATGAGTTGGTGAGAGTGAGAAATGGGTAAAGCACCTTGTTGTGAGAAACATGGAGTGAGAAGAGGAGCTTGGACTCCTGAAGAAGATCAAGCTTTGGCTGACTATATCAACAAACATGGTCATGGAAGTTGGCGTACACTCCCTAAGCATGCAGGTACTGTGCAACTTTTCTTATATATGTTAGGTACTTTTTGTTTCTTTCTTTTTTTCTTTCTGGGAACTTTTGGAATGTTTTGAAGATTGAGAAGAATATTGTAGTATGGCTTTTATGATTTAAACAAGTTTCTGCATGTTGGTTTCTTAGATATTTCGGTTTCCATGTTCTTCAAGGTTTTCGGATTTCAAGAGCATGATTTCATAATAGTTTTAAAATTTTTTCTTTGCTAAATATGTTGTTTCAGTGAATGAAGTTTAGTTTGTGCATTCTAAAATGGGTTTGGGAGGTGGAAACTATAATCTGAAGGTGTTATAGTGGCACTGTTAAAATCTGGAGTCAAACCTTATTGTGGCTCCTAGTTATGTTCTCCTTGCTGTAATTACTGCATGTTATGCTACTTTTTTTCTTCTGTTCCTTCAATGGGCTAATAAGAATATTTTCAATTGTTTGATTTGGTTATTTAGTACTATTTACTGTAACTAAACTTGTGTTTGGTTATGGTTATGCTGCAATAAAAATTTATTTTAAATGAATGTGAAGTGGTTTGTAGTTAATATGTGTGTGACCACTGTTGGTTCTTTCTAGGGTAAAACCTAACACTATAATTTTGTTGCCATCTATCTAAGAGAAATGAGAGATATTGGGATAATTTTATTTTACATCATTGAGGCTAGTGAAAATTATTTTTGAGTTTAAGAGTACGTGTAGTTGTTTTTTGAATGGTTTTAGAGGGAAATGCGTTGAAGGATTGCGTCTATATCTTGAAATATATTTTTTAACTTATTAAAAATATCAAACACATTTTAAATCGGCCAAAAACTTTCCCTTGAAAACTTTCCGAAAACCAACTCCTAAACAAACTCTAGTTCTAGCAGACCATGTAGTTCTGATGGTTTTTTTGTCTTTTGGTTTATGTCATTTGAATGATCGAGCTAAATTGGACCTTCCCCTCGAAAATCTTTTGAAAACTTACTCCCAAATAGACTCTAGTTCTAGCAGACACTTAGTTCTTATGATTTTTGTTGTCTTCTGGTTTATGTCATTTGAATGATCTGTTGAAGCATATTCTTGTTTTGAATGGTGACGAACTATTTATTTTAGGTTCTTGATGAGAGCAACGTGGTAAGAAACTCCCCCTGAAATTATGCATGCTTTGAAGGACAAATGCTCCCCCTCAATGTTAATAATCAGATCAGATACATAAAGTTTAGCAATGTAAAACATTTGTATAAGATAATATATTGAAAGATAATTTCATAGATTGATAATATATTAATGTATTAATTGTTTGAGGATCAATACATCAATAAATTGTCATCAATATCTTGGTGCACAAACAAAAAGACCCATCCCTTTTGCTAAACTAACATACCTCAAACTCCTCTCCGCCTCGCATCGCCACAAATGACTTTAACACAAATCTTCTTGGTCCTCCAAGAATCACGTCCTTAAACTCGTCATTTTTCAGAGCACTCATCCTCCTATCCATCCTAATTCCACAACTCTATCTGATCCTCCAAATACTCATGATGACATCTACCTTCGCTCGATAACTGCTCTCCGGAAAACACATATGGCTATCAACTCTTTCTAGGCTAACTACATCACTGAGAAAATGTGCCTCGCTTCCCTGGTCTGCCTGCACCATCAATCCTCTGAAGCCACTTTAGATGATGAGGCTCCAGCCACTTAAATGCATCACTCTTTGAGGCTTGGCTTTTTGCCCCCCTTCTTTTTTCCTATTGACAAAAGGGGGAGAACAGCTTGTCGAGCTTATGTTATTTTATTTTCTTGTCTTTTTATCTAAGCAGTTGTTTTGTTTGAAAATGGATCCTTTTGTGCACCAACATATTGATGTATTGATCCTTAAACAGTTAGTATATTATCAATCTGTTATCAATCTGTGAAATTATCTTATACAAATGTTTTACATTGTTAAACCTTATGTATCTGATTACTAACATTGAGGGGGAAGCATTTGTCCTTCAAAACATGCATAATTTCAGGGGGAGTTTCTAACAACACTGCTCTCATCAAGAACTTAATATAAACAATTTGTCACCATTCAAAAAAGGGGGAGAAAGTTGAAGCATATTCTTGTTTTGAATCTAACAAACTATTTTCATAAAGAAACTCTAATACAGTCCATTAAATCAAGTCAACTACTATGTCATCAAAAGACTTAGCAAGTCATTCTCAAAAAAATATTCAATACAACTTGAGGACTCATAAGTACTTTTTGAGGATAAGACATCATAAGGAACCAACCACAAGTACTATACAAGGATAAAAGTACTTGTCAGTATTTATCAAGCACTTCTAGAGGACATCTAAAAATGTCTATTTATATCTTTTAGACTTTTTAGTAATCATGAAGAAAGACTAAGGTCATAGTTAGCAAATTTTTTAATAAATTGTTTTGCTTCTCTATAAAAAGACAACTTGTGTTCCTTTCTAAATACACTTACAGAATCAACAAGCCAGAAGCATCATCCACCATATAGTGTAATCATATTATAAGCTCTAAAGTTCTTATTATATTCTCACTGTCATATAGTGAGTACTCAAAAGCTTGTAGTATAAGTATATCATATATATATATATATATACACAAACCAAATACTCTTGTAAGCTCTCTGAAAGTTATACCACTTAAAAGTGTAAGCCTGGTGAGGCTAAGAATACAAAGGAAGAATAGTCATTTTAAGAAGAATCAATAAAGGATAATCTCATAAGGTGTGGGATTGGACTAACCAAGTCGGGGAATCAGAATAAGTTATCTATGTTTATTTTATTATTGTCTAATTGCATTTCATATTTACTAACTAATCAAATTCACACACTCACAAATACTATTTGTTCTAACCAATCCTTGAAGTTACAAAAACCCCTTTATTATTTTTTTACTCATATTGTATCCTTGTCCTCATATATTTTATAGAAAGAAAATATTAAGAAACTCACTACTGATATTAATTTTTAAAAAGGCACAATCCAACCCCCTTATTGGGACATATCCTTTTACAACATGATCGAACTAAACTGAGTTGTTCATGAGTCTAAATCGGGTTTGTTCTTATGGTTTTTTTGTCTTTTGGTATATGTCATTTGAACAATCGAGTTAAACTAAGTTGTTCAGGAGTCTAAATTGGGTTTGCTCTTATGTTTTTTTTTTCCTTTTGGTTTATGTCATTTGAACGATGAGCTAAACTGAGTTGTTCACGAGTCTTTTAGTTTATGTGATGTGATCGATTGAGCTAAACAGAGTTGTTCATGAGTCTAAATCAAGTCAAGTTAGAGCTGAAAAAAATACTATTCATAGCAAGCTCGATTTTTTGAGCTCACCCAATTTCAACTCAGCTCCACTCATATTTAAATGTATACAAGTTTATATTTGATGGGAGCTATTTACCATGGGAGGAGTGGAATTTTTACACTGTAACAGAGAAAGATGAAGACTTACATATACTTATTTGAATTAATTTAATGTATGTTAATGTTTACAACTAGGTCTCTTGAGATGTGGAAAAAGTTGTCGGCTTCGTTGGATAAACTATCTTCGTCCCGGCATCAAGCGTGGCCCATTTACTAATGAAGAAGAAACTACTATTATTCAACTTCATGCCATGCTTGGCAACAGGTACCTCACTGCTCCATTTCTTCCGTTTGTTCATCAACTCAGTATGTTGCATTGATCTCTACTTGTGATATTGCTTTCACTTTTCATGTAACTGGTAACTATGCAATCATTTAGGTGGGCTACTATAGCATCTCAACTACCGGGAAGAACCGACAACGAGATTAAGAACTATTGGAACACACATCTAAAGAAGCGCGTCATTCGGTCACTAGGTGAAAAACATCCATGCCTTATTCTTGATAGGAATGTTCAGTCTAATGCTCCTTCTACGCACCACATGGTACAATGGGAAAGTGCAAGGGTTGAGGCAGAGGCAAGGTTGTCCATTGAGTCCACATTGCACAATTCAGGCTCTACCACGAAAACATATCCGGATTACTTTCTTAAACTTTGGAATTCCGATGTTGGTCGGTCGTTTCGTACAATCAAGGGAAAGGAAGAACAGGTGTCCCAAAGTCTAGTCTCACAAGCATCAGCTTCATCACTATCATCATCAAAGTTGGACGAGTCATGTTCAGATGTCTCGATGCAGGTCAAAAACACTCGTAACCTTAAAGTGTCAACAACACCAAAGCTTGAAGTTGACAACATGATTCAGGGACAAAACTCGCCTCGCGAACAAACTAGAAGCAGCTATAAACCAAAACTTGGAGACGATAGAGCTGGTTCAGATTCGGGAAATTACGAATTTCTTGATACTTCTGATTCTGCACTAAAGCACCTGTTACATATGCCTGATGATATTGAATTCTTGGGACACACTGACAATTTCTTGAATCTCCTTGATGGTAGATATGACTAAGATACTCTCCTCCATATGATAGATATATATGATAGAATAGTTAGTTATCATGCATCCACAAGGCAAATACTCAAATGTGTATTTTGGATACATGGATTTGAATTTGAAGTTGTCTAAAGCGACAAGAATCTTATATTGCACAACTTGAAGAAGAATTAAATTACTTTTATTCCAAAGTAATGGATATATACAAGCCAATATATATCACTATGCACACAGAATAAATTAACAAACTAAAAAGTACACCAAATCACACATGAAGAAAGTATATATGAATAAAACAACACATCAATTTTGTTATCAGGTTTGAGGATTGTAGCATTAGAATAAACCAAATAGTTTCTTTGGAGCCGTTCCAGTTGCCCTGTATTTTGCAGCCACCTCCTCTGCTTTGAGTAACTCTTCCCCTTTCTTGGCCTCAATTACTGCCCTCTTCTCTTCAGCTTTCTTGTGAAGTAATGCTATTTTGTTCATCATTTTCTCTGCATATTCTCCCTTTTTCCTCTCTAGTTGTTCCTATACACAGTGAAAATTAAAGTTATATTTTTTTTCTTCATATTTTGTCACATTCAATTTGCTTGTAAAAATAAGTTGTTACCTCAAGTTTTCTCAATTCAGCTTCTGTTGCAGCTTTCTTACTGTTCTCCCATGCTGTAATGGTTGAAAGTTTTCTCTGTGCCCTGCTCATCAAATTCATTTAAGTTAGTATACAAAAGCTTGTTGAATAACTTAAAAAATTAGTCATTAACTGATAAAGTAACATCAATATAATGAAATGTTTTGAATTTCTAGGCAATTTGCTATTTTATTAGAAAGTTAGCTATTGCAAATGACTTAAGAATGTTTGCATTAACTTATTTCAGTTTATTCACTGGCATAAGTTACTCGTAAGACATGTTTGTAATCTGTTTACAACTTATTTTGTTTAAGTTCTTCAACAAGCTCTTTCATGTTTTAAGCAAAACTTCTTTTTCCTCATCTGCATTGCTTCTTTATTAGTTATGACGACTCAATGAAAAGTTCTAAGTTCTAACAATTTGACAAAACCAAAAAATGCACTTAAAATATGAAACAAGCAATAAATGGTGCAAGGTCTTACTTGTTCTCTGCCTTAGACTTTTCACTTTCTTCCCATGCTTTGACTAGTGACAGCCTCTTTTCTGTTGCAACTCTTTCAAGCACCGCATCTGAAGAAGAAAATATCATAGCTTGTAATGTTAACATATGAAGCACCTAAAGAGAAGAATCTAACCATTTTAAAAAAAAATTAAATTAAATGTAATCACAAGTGTCAATAACAGTAAATTAAACATAATCATAAGTGTTTGGATTAGTTTCACACTTTATTTTTTTTAAAGATATCAGTGATAGAGTCACTCTACAAAGCTCTAAACCAATATTTTCTAAAAAACTAAACACTAAAAGGAAAGCAGTGGCACAAGAATGAGAAGGGACATGCCTCGGTTGATAGAGCCCTCTTGTGGTTTCTCTTCAGCAGCTTCATCAGTCTCTGCTAGTACCAAATTAACAACGGAGTGATATTAGTGTTTCTTTTCTCCCTTCAAATTTGAAAAAAAAAAAAAAACTTTATTTGGACGTGAAGTTGGTTGGCAAACATAGAGCAAATTGAATACATAATCAGGTCTATGTGTTGAACGTGCAAGACGGACTACCGCACATAGTTAAAGTTTGACACTTTTAAAGTGTGACTAAAAGGAACTTCATACGATATTTGTCACCGTTTAAACATGACAAAATATGATCCTATCTGATTTGTCACACTTCAATCGTGGTTAAACAACATAAAGCTTTCAAAAACTTAAGACGGACTGGCCCTGGATATAATTCTTCTCTATTGAACAATCAAGAGAGAAATTCACGAAACTTATAAAAATACAAGGAAACAAACACAAATCACAAAATAGTCAAGCTTACGGGTATTCATTTTATTTTATTAAAAATATATAAAATATTCCCTGCAATTTAAAATAATTTAATAAAAAAAATTAAAAAATTATTCAGAAAACAGACACTAGAAGACAAAGAAAATCCAAAAATTAGAGCTTAAAATTCAACTTTGCCGTTAAAACTGCAGAATCTTTGTAACGGCAGGTTTCAACTGTTTTCTCTTATATTATATAAGCTAGAAAGTGTTTGTTTACATCAAAATTACCACAAGACACGCTAAATATCATCGAAAATATATAGAGAAATTAAAAAACATAAGCACTTGCGAAACACAGCACCAAATTGAAAGCACATAATGAATTTGATTTAAAAATAAAGAACAAAAGAAAGAAAAAAAAATATTGATAACAGTGACATACTCTTAGCTACAACAAGAGCTTTGGAATCATCAACAACCAGAGGAGGAGGAGGAGGAGGGTTATGATCTAGATGATCAGGTTGTGGAATTACAGATTTGTCCTCAGGCACATGTTCCTTGGGCGGTGGCACTGATAAAGGATTAGAACTTGATGCAGTTTCAATCTTTTTTGGTTGCTCTTGATCAGTCATTTTTGCTGATGGAGTTGGTTAGTTGTAACGAAAATATATTTGGTCACAAAATTAGAGAGTAAGTAAGTGTTGTGTTGGAATGAAATGGGGGATAGAGTTGTTGAGATATTATGGTTGAAGAAAAGAAATGTAACTGTTACTGTACTCAATAAATTATCTTAGAATTCTTAAATTATATCTTAGCTGGGTAGGGTTTGTTGGTAGGTACTTCTATGCGGTGGCACAGCGCATCAATAGCGATGGATAGCAACAATTAAAATATCTTCTACTAACTTTTTTTTATCCGTGGTCAAAATGACAATCATTTCTAGAAATAAATATATCTTCTTTTAATAACTTTTTATCCATAGTCAAAATATAATCATTTCTAGAAATTTACGGTCAATATTTATATAAAATTTAAATATAAATTTTTATAATCTCAAAAAAATAAAGTTTTTTTATATATCATAGATTAGATGGAATATTATGTTATATATTGAGACAATAAATATAATTTTTTTAGATGGGATAATACTTAAATATAATTATTTTGGTGTAATTTTTATTATTTTTTAATGAGAATATAATAAGTATATATGTATGTGTATTGTGTGTAATTTTCTTATGTTTTTATTTCTTAACTTATATTTAAGTACAATTGAAATATTTTATTAAAAAATAATAAAAATTACATTTAAAAAATATTGAATTTAAATTTATTTTTTTAAATAATTAGTTTTATCATCGAAAAAATGATAACGATACAGTTTATTGTTTGTTTATATATATTTATTTATAATCTTGATTATATATAAAAATAATTTTATTCAAATAAAAAAAATTATGATATAAATTATGATAAAATTAAAAAAAGTTTGTTTCATAAATAAAAAAACTTGAAAGCCAGCATGTTTTTAATAAGCAAAGGTAATGAAAGATTGGAAGTTATCGGTTTCGTTTACGGTACTTAATGTTTTTTTTTTTTAATTAGATATTTTTGCCCCTACATGATATTGATAATTTAATCTAAGTAATTATAAAGATTTCTTCTATGTTTAGTTTTTGACGTTTTTAGAAAAATATTTCTTTCAGACTAGTATATTTATTTTTTGGGTTTGTGTAGTAAAACTCATTTAAAATTTAGATTATTTTAAAATCAATTAATATGAAAAGATATTGATGAGTGATGCATACTCAACTAAATACTATTGTATCATGGTGTCACCCTTTAAATGTTGCATTGACAAAAATTGATGAAATTAAAATATTATACTAGATTTTGTCATACAGAAATTTGACACAACCATGTAAGAATGTAGCCTCTATTTTATGTTTTCTCAATTTCTTTTTGGAAAATGCTAAAAAATTTATTAAAAAAATGTTTTATTTATTAAATATTTGTATTCAATACATTAAAAAATAAAATAATTAATTTTTTTAAAAAATAAAAAGTATATTTTTTTGAAATTATTTGTATTTTAATACATTATAAATTAAAATAATTAATTTATTTTAATAATACTTTTCATATTTGACATCTTTAAAGAGTGTTTCTGAAATACTCATTAGCATTATTATTTTTTATATATTTGAGAGTATCTCAAATGTGCGATAAAGAAAAAAGAAGTTAAGTTTATAAGTTAATTTGTTGTTTTTGTCTCTTCTCACGCTTTTTCTTGCAATATAGTATATCGACGCCGTCTCCTGTGCGTCAGGCTCATAGGTCCCTCACGTGAGAGACTTTTTTTTTGTTCTCAAATGCACATGAGTCATTGGATTGGGTGTCTATACTATCACATTATGCACATTTACACACAATATCATCACCATCCCTTGACATCTTTCTCTCACCCGATGTCTCCATTATGTCCTTTTCTAAAATCCATTAATCTTCGTCATTTTCTTGTCTTTCCTTCTGATATCTTCTTCATTTCTTCCATTTTATATTCTCTTATATTGTGAATAAAAAAAGATAACTCGCATATATTGAATCAAAGATGGATGGTGGTGACACCATTGGGCATGAAGTAATGCAAGCTAATGTTGATGATGAACTGAATTTTGTTACTGACAACTCAATTGTTGATGAAGATTTTGAGTTTGAGGAAGTTGAATATGATGATGATGTGGATGAATATGGTGAAATTGATGGAGGTGTATACAATGATGAAGATGCGGATGACGATTGTGAAATTGATGGAGGTGAATACGATGACGTGAGCAGTTCTGGTGATGTTGGTGGACACAGATATTGGAATATAAATGGAAGTGATGGAGAAGGTTTGGGATGGAGTTCAGATACTTTGAATGAATCGATATTTTCAGATGAAAATCAAGACGAGTCGATTGTCGTTGACGATTTTAACGACATTGCAAAGATGGACATGTTTGACTTGTAAAATGATGATGTTTCGAAGCTGCAATTTGAAAGTCTAGAAATTGCGTACAAGTTTTACTATTGGTTTGCACAGATGAATGGTTTCGCGGTTCGTAAAGGTTAAGTTGTTAAAAAAGGAATGGAGATGTTGTTCAACAAACATTCATGTGTAACCTTGAAGGATTTAGGCAAGACAAAATAGAGCATCACAAGCGTGGTCCAGCACGAAACATTGTATGGATATAGAGCGAAATTTCGGTTTCATATTGGTATAATTTCACATCGTTGGTATGTCACATTTTTTTCTTATGAGCACAATCATGAATTATTAAAGGAGAAGCATTGCAAGTTGTTGGCAGGTAATAGGAAGCTTAGTAAGTCAGATAAGATACAAATTAAGAATTTTGGGAATGCAGGAATCAAAGTAACTCAAATGATTGGTTTATTTACAAATGTTGCCGAGGGGTATGATAAGGTAGGATTTTTGAAGAAGGACGTACATAATCAAATTGCAAGACAAAGGAAAGAGATATCTTATGATGCGAAAGGTGTTGTTAGGTATCTTATTGATCTTTGCGTTAAACATCCATTGATGTTTGTTGCACACACGGTGGGTGCGAATGTAATGTTGCAAAACCTATTTTAGAGTGATGGTGAAAGTCAGAAGAATTATGAACTATTTGGCGATGTGCTTGCTTTCGATGCTACATATAAGAAAAAATAAGTACAGGTGCCCCTTTGTTTTTTTTCCTGGTGTTAATCACCATAAGCAGACAATTATATTTGTTACTGCCATAGTTTTAAATAAGGTCGAAGGGTCTTATGTATGGTTGCTGGAGCAATTTTTGGTTGCAATGAAAGGTAAGACACCAATATCTGTAATAGCAGACAGTGATGTTGCTATGAGAAATGCAATCAGGAAAGTCTTTCTCAACAGTTACCACAGGTTATGTGCATGGCATCTCTTACGAAATACAATGTCCAACATTGGCAATCCCAATTTCATCTCTATTTTCAAAAAATGCATGTTGGTGATCATGATGCTTAGAAATTTGACAATCTGTGGAATGAAATGGTAGACGAGTTTGATTTAGAGGAGAACAATTGGATCAATAAATTATACAAGAAAAGGAAGATGTGGGAAACAACTCATATTTATGGAAATTTCTTTGCATGAATAAGAACGATGTTGCGGTGTGAAGCATTTCATAGCCATATGGGTCACTTTGTACACTCGAAGATGAATATGACTGATTTTGTTAAGCATTTCCATAGGTGTGTAACATATTTTTGCTTTATAGAGGTTCAAGCAGATTTTCAATCCCAATATGGACAGAAATTGCCGCAGACCAGTCTTAGGGAGCTTGAGAAGTCGGCTTCAAAGTAATGGACAAAAGAGATATTCGAGATGGTACGGTCTATTTTGAAAAAAGGCATCATTAATATATGTATTAGATACTCAAGATATGGCGTCCCTTACAATTTATGCAACAACAAAATATTGATGCGAATGGCATGGATGGCGTGTATTCCACTGTCCATCGAATAACGATTTCAGATGCACATGTCTTAGAATGGAATCTATTGGAATTCCCTGTAACACCCCAATTCTACCCCAAGCGATTATGCAAGATAAATCAGAATTATAAAATTCATATCATGAAAGTGAATCGGGACGTCACAAATTCTTCTAACAAATTCATTGCATTCATCGTGGATATATAACACTTTCAAAACATCGGATGAACCATCATCATAACATCTTTAATCAAAGAAATCAACATCTACGCAGTGGAATTCTTAATAACATCTCTAACAACAAAATAGCAACTTCGAAACATCACATATTTAATAATAGTCAATTTAAAGTTCAACAACTGAAAATCAACAATCAAAAATAGCAAGCGTTCATCCCCCCGAGTGTTACATATTAGAGAAATGACACCGACTCGAACTACCGAAGGTATACAGCCTTCACTCTCGATTACCTGCACGTTACCAACGTAATGGCAACATTCAAACAGAAGGGGTGAGATATCTAACAATATAATAAAGCGCGTGATAATTAATATATAAAATTAGATCAACAACATCACCACTTCTCATCTCATAATTAACGACAATCTCAACAATAATATACATTCATCAACATCAAAATACACTTCTTCATGAAATCATATAATGCGACTCAATACTATGCAAATGCATGTGGTACCATTAGAGCAGAACTCCCATCTCAAAAATTTGCCAATTAATAGAGGCATCAACAAGGCATAGCCTTCATCTCAAAATTTGCCAATCCAGGCCATCTCAACGAGCATAAGCCCCATCTTAAAAAAATGCAATGTATGCGACACAATCATGAATGTAATAACAACACCCAAGTTAACAACATCTCAAATCATCTCAAACATCTCAAATTAACATCTCAAAATAACATCTCAAAGACATCTCAGATTAACATCTCAAAAACATCTCAAATAATCAACATCTCAAATCATAACAATAATTTATTAAACATCATTTATTTATTATAAATCATCAACACAAAATTTATTAATAACTTCTCACTAACAACTCAACAGTATTTTAATTCCCATAGTACATCAACACTGTCATTCTGCAACTCTAACGTCAAAAC